TCGTTTAGTGACAAAGTTAGGAAAGCCTCGAGCCAAAGTTTTCGATCAGGGGGATTTGTTTGGTGCTTTGGATGATAATGAAGGTCTTATCCAGGTCTTTACCAAGGATTCGTGGCCTGCTATTCGAACCTCTCCCAAACTGCGAGAAGCCTTACATTCCAAATGGAAGGACTGTTTAGTGGTGAAACTTTTGGGTCGAAATATTGGTTACAAAACTCTCCATGCCAAAGTGACTGGTCTCTGGAATCCGAAGGGAGATTTTGAACTCATAGAATTAGGAGAGGGTTTTTTCATTGCTAAATTTTATTTGGATGAGGATTTACGTTATGTCCTGGAGGAAGGGCCATGGGTGATTTTTGGGTATTATTTGACGGTGAGAAAATGGAGGCCAGATTTTCAGCCTTCGGAAGCTGCCTTCGGAAACTGTAATTGATACGACTACTGCTTGGATTAGATTTCCGGAATTATCTGTGGAGTATTACAATGAAAAGGTTTGTTAGCTTTGGGTAATCTGGTGGGAAGAGCTCTCAAAGTTGACAATAACACGCATCTGGCATCAAGAGGGAAGTTTACTCGGGTTTGTGTTGAAATTGATCTGAATAAACCTCTTGTACCAAAACTGTTTGTGGATGATAGATGGATTAATGTGGAATATGAGGGTTTATCGTTTTTTTGCTTTCATTGCGGTATTATTGGACACAAAAATTGTAAGGAGTTTAGGGAGGAGTTAATGGCAGCAAATAACAATGAGCAAGCTGAGGTTGGTACCAAGGAGATTCAAAGTGATATGAGGATGGAAAATGCTGTGGGTACAAAAGAGGTGCCTCAGGAAGTGCCAGAGGAGTCTGCGTTTGGGCCTTGGATGGTAGCATCGACTAGACGCCAAAGAGTCCCTCATCGCAAGTTCACAGCACCGGTGAGGAATCATACCGCTAATAGATCGACTGGTTCACGTTTTGCAGCTTTGGCGGAGGAGGAAGTTGTGGTGCCTGAGCGTGGCCAAAACTCACATGTGTCTCCTGCTCGCAACTTTGCTACTGATAGGGCTGGCCAATCCTTGAGAGGTGGCGGTGGTAGTGCTAAAGGCAAGGTATATTCTGGACACAAGAACAAGGACCCTCGGCAAGTTGTTAATAATGGGAAAGGGCAAGCTGCACCTAAGGAGAAGCCGGCAGAGCCTAGGCCGAACCAGTTGGGTACTTCGAATAATTTAGATCCTGTTTGTAATTTTGCTAGGGATGGAACTCGTTTGGAGTCATTGACCATGGGGGATGTGAATAATATGATGATTGATAGTGTTTCTTTAGGGGATGCGGGGGAGTTGGGAGATCAGGAAGTGCAGGATAAGCATGTAGGCTCTCCGACATCCTCTGATCATAGAAACAGGAACCCTCCCAATTCGCAAGGCCCTTCGTTGGTTCCAGAGACCCAATTGAATGATGTTAATATGCTAGTTGAGCATGAAAGTGATGTGAATAAGTGTTTTGTTGGTGCTTTACCTGGTGAGCTGCTTAAACCGGGTGCTTTGCATAGCAATTTTTAATGAATATTCTACTATGGAATAGTAGGGGAACTGGGAGTAAAGCTTTTAGACGAAATAGTAGGGAGTTTTTACGGTGTTATAGGCCACATGTCTTTATTGTTGTTGAACCACGCATTTCTGTCTTTCCAGCGGAAAATGTTGCGAGAAGATTAGGATTCCCAAGATATCATATTATGGACCCGGTGGGTTTTTCTGGCGATTTATGGATGTGTTGGGATGATCAGAATATTAATATTGAGGTTATTTTTGGATCAACGCAGGTTATTCATGAAATTGTAACTATGGAGGATGGCAAGCAATGGTTGTTGTCGGCTGTATATGCGAGTCCAACCTTAGCAGTACGACAGAGATTGTGGGATGCAATGGAAAATTTTGCTTCAGAAGTTAGTTTACCTTGGATGATGATTGGTGATCTAAATGAGGTTAGTAATAGTTCGGAAAAGAGGGGCGGAGCTGATGTATCTATGGGTAGATGTCTTCGCTTCAATAGTATGTTGGCAAATTGTGGTTTATCGGATCTAGGATTTCAGGGGCCTTCCTACACTTGGACGAACAGGAGACAAGGTAGACACCGCATCCATGAATGTTTAGATAGAGCTTTGGTGAATGCTGAATGGCGGTTAATGTTCCCTGAAGCAATTGTTAAACATTTGCCTCGTTTCTATTCGGATCATTGTCCGCTACTTGTACAGGGTAAGGAGGATATTCCAATAGATGTTTCTAAAAGGCCTTTCCGATTTCAGGCTATGTGGTTAAAGCATGAGGAGGCTTCGGATTATATTGTTAAATGTTGGCATCAGGCAGATGGGGATCTTGTTGCTAAATCATGTACTCTTGTTGATGCTTTGAAGGAATGGAATAAAGATGTTTTTGGTAATATTTTTGAACGGAAGAAAGAGTTAAGGGCAAGGTTACTGGGTATTCAACGAGCTTTGGCAAGGTCTTCGTCATCCCACTTGCTTGATCTTGAAAAGGAACTTGTTACCGAATATAACCAAATCTTGGAGCAAGAGGAGGTTCTTAGGTTTCAAAAGTCAAGAGTGCAATGGTATCAGGCGGGGGAAAAGAACACAAAGTTCTTTCACCTGTCTACGGTTTGGAGGTGGAGGAAGAATAAAATTTCCATGTTGAAGAATGATGATGGTGAGTGGATTTTAAGCCAGGATTCTTTGAAGACTATGGTTACAGAGTATTATAAAGCTTTGTTTTCGGAGGATACTAATGTGTTATGTGTCAACTTCTTAGCTCGCTTATGGAGTGTAAAATTTACACTGAAAAGTGTATTGTATAATAATTCTATAAGAAAAGTAATATAGAGTGATTTGATTTGATTTGATTTTTTTAAAATCTAGATTAATAAGAATTAATGAATTTCCAAATCAAAATCAATTATCATTAATGATATTTTCATATTCATCTACTTTATATGTCTATTCCCTACCGTAAATCTTTCAATTCAATTAAACTTTTAGTTTTAAATATTTATTTTCACTAATATTCAATTCAATCAAAATCAATTCATTCCTTTTTATTTTACTTTACATCAAAAAAAATTTCTTCCTAATTTACCTAATAAGGTAGAGAAATAATATATAGGTATTTAGTTTAAAGGCAAAGTTATAAGTTTGAATGGAGTTAATTTGATGGAATAATTAATTAAAGGAAAACTTTAAAAATTAGATATTTGGGTACTACCTCCACCAAATTCTCTTAAGTTTAGGGATAGTAATAACTCACCATTTTCTCCCATTTACATGACATATTCTAATTACAAAGTCAAACCATGCAGTCTAATTAACAATTCATGAAGAGTCAATTACTTTTTTTTTTGGAATGAATACATGTGAAATCTCATTACAATCAGAATAAATCTATATGCCCAAGTATCTAAATGAGAAATCAACTCAAACTAAGAAACTACCATAAATAAACCATCTACCTACCAAATACACAAATAAACAAATTATAAACTAAACTCACATTCTGTGAGACTTGAACCTAGGACCTCACGTTCCGGGTACGGTGCACCTATCAGTTGAGCTAACAACTCGGGTGCAAAAGAGTCAATTACTTAATTTATCAAATTATGAATAAATTAAAAGGATATTTGAAACGATAGTAGGAGAAATTAGTATAGCAAATAACAATACATTTTTCAATTATTAATACTTCAAATTAATACTTATGGTCAATCTACTATCTTTATTAAGTTTTAAGAGTAAGGAGTGGTAGTTAAAAAAATTGCATAAGTTTTTAAGGATGAGAGATTACTAATTAAAATGATATATGAAACGATAATAGGAGAAATTAGTATAGCAACTAACAATATATTTTTCAATTATTAATACTTCAAATTAATACTTATGGTCAATCTATTATCTTTATTAAGTTTTAAAAGTAAGGACTGGTAATTAAAAAAGTTGCATAAATTTTTAAGGATGAGAGGTTACTAAATTTATATGAAATCCTAAGAAATTGTAGTGACATTTTATTATTAAATGAGAATTATTACTTCCTCTGTCCCTAATCAGATGTCCAGTCTTGGTCAACCAATCTCAATGTTTGACCATTATTTATAAAAAAAGTAAAATTTAATTTTAAAAAAATATGTGTTGAAAAGTTTACAATTCAAAAGTATGGGTAAACTAAAGATTTAGTAATACTTTTTTCGTTTAATTATATTACAACGTAACTAAACTTTCATTACAAAATATTGTTCATTCTTTATCAAGTTTACTGCTAATTAAAATTCAAATATTATGTGACTAATTAATTATTCATAAATAAATTATAATTTTAAATATTTACTTTAAAATTTGAACTAATCCCGGTGCAACGCACGTGTTCTAACCTAGTCATATATATATATATTTATATATATTTAAAACAATGCACACTACAAGTATGATAACTCTTTAAATGTTGAAGGCTCCAAATCTCGACAAGTGTCATGCCATTTAAATTACATGTGTCCTTATTAATATTAAATTAAAAATTAAAAAATCATAATAATTCTAAATCAATTTAATTAATAAATTAATAATGTCAGATTTCAATAACTATTACCAAGTCAATTTGTCCTTGATTAACTCATATAAAAATGATATAGAAAGACTGTTAAAAAAAATGATATAAAAAGATTAGTCATTTTGCGAATTAAGTCAATTTGATTAATAATCTCAGCTATTACCAAATATATAAAAGATATAGAAATATATATTCTGCATTAACAAAAAAAAAGGAAAGTTAAATCATTCAGCATTCTTACCAATTTCTTTATATTCGAATTATACGAAATTTTTGGTAAAAAATAATTACACGGAATTTAATTATCTATTTTTTTTTGGCGAAAAACAAGAAGATTTTATTGATATCAGACAAAAGTTCATACAAACATAATGCAAAAATACCCAATAGGAATACAAGAGCATAAACAGATACTCAAAAACCTACTGGTTTAAAAAGAAAAAACAAGTGAGGGAGGCGCTGGAACCCCATCCTTGCTCCAAATTCCTGTTAAAGAAGATGGTTGGTGCTCCCTCCAGGTGGCACAGCTCATCCCCTTCCTCGCCTGTCTAGCAAACCAATCCGCTGCTAGAGTTGCCATTCTACTTATATAAGCAACTTCCTTATGGTCGATCAGATTTAAAGCTTCCTTGATATCTTGAACAATAGGCCTTATGCGCCAATGCACACTTCCTTCATTTACAGCTTTAATATTCCTGAGCAATTCTATGGAGTCAGTTTCAAAAATAACATTGTCCAGAGCTTGTCCAGCTACTTTAGATACTGCCTCCTTCAAAGCCAAAGCTTCTGCTGCCAAGGCATCATAACAATGAACTTTCTTCCCAGTAGCATCAAGAACTTGACCATGATGATTCCGACTTACAATTCCAATACCTGCAGATTTAATTTTACTACAAAATGACCCATCCGAATTAACTTTTAACCATCCATCAGGGGGTTTAATCCACTTAGTCTCAACTTCCTCCCTACCCATGGTCCTTGGACAATCCAACTTAAATTTCTGTTTCTCTGCCCACTCAAATTCTTGAATAGCTCTATTAATCCTCATAACAACAAGGTCAGGATTAATATCACATTTATTAAACACAGCTTCACATCTAGATTTCCATATGTACCAGCAAGTAAAAGCAACCCTCATACGCCAATTACCCTCTATATCACCCTTTTCATCAAGACTATGGCATATTTTCAAAAACCAATCATCAAATGTAGTAATTTTCTCTAAATCAAAATGCAATCCACAAACACCGAACCATACTACTCTAGTCCAATCACAGAGCAATAATAAATGTTCAATAGATTCATCATAAGAGTGACATATACCACATACCATTGAGTCTTTACAATTCCTCCTATGCAGAGCTTGATTAGTGGCCACAGCATTTTGAGCACATCTCCACAAAAACATTCTGACTTTAGGAGGGCACTTAGTTTTCCATATTTCTTTCCATAAATCTGCTGGTATGACATGAGAACTTGATGATTTATCATTCTTAACAGATCTCCTCGATTTCTCCCTTAGGCTGTGATAACCAGATTTAACAATGTAATGTCCCTAAGAAGTATGAGGCCAAACCAACTTATCCTTCCCTTTATTTACTGCAAGGGGTATACATTCAATAGCTTCTTTATCAGTGGCTGAAACCCGATCACCCAAAGCAGAAGTGTCCCAAGAGTTTTCTTCTACTCCTCTTTCCAGCCCAGGAATCCATTTATCAACCAACACATTGATCTTAGACCCATCACCAACCTGCCACAACAATTTATCTCTCAAAAAGTCTCTTCCTTCAAGCAGACTACTCCACGTCCAAGAAGCCCGAGCACCTTTTTTTGCACTCATAACATCACCATTACTGAAATATATGCCTCTAAGAAACTTAGCCCATAATGCTTCTGGCTCATTGATTAATCTCCAAACCTGCTTAGCAAGAAGTGCTTTGTTGAAATCTTCAAGCTCGCGGAAACCAAGTCCTCCTTCCCCTTTAGGATTAGTTAAACAGTCCCAGCTTCGCCAATGGATAATCATTTCATTGTCCTGTTGTCCCCACCAATAATTTGCAATGGCTTTATTCATCTATGCACAAATTCTTTTGGGAAACTTGAAACACATCATCCAGTATGCTAGTATTGCACATGCCACAGACTTTATTAATATCTCCTTACCACCCATGGACAGTAACTGTTGTTTCCATGCTTTTAGTCTTGTGGTCATTCTGTCTTTGATATAGCTAAGAGCCTCATATCTTGTTTTCCCCTAGGTAGATGCAAAACCCAAATAAGTTCCTGGATTGTCAGCTGTTTTAATGTGTAGCTCATCTTCAATACTTTTCCTGGTAGCTTCATCCACATTTTGACTGAAAATAATTCTAGATTTATCCAGATTTATCTTTTGCCCAGAGGCTGTCGAGTAAACCTGAATTAAATCAAACATCTTTCTGCAATTTACAATGTTAGCTTCCAAGAAAAATAGAGAATCGTCCGCAAAGAAAAGATGGGACAAAACAGGACAATTCCTGCTCAATTTAACCCCATGAATATCACCATTATTAACACCTACTTGGATCAACCTAGAAATGATATCTATAACAATGAGAAAGAGGTAAGGGGATAGAGGATCCCCTTGTCTAAGACCCCTAGAAGGAAGAATAGACCTACTATTTTTGCCATTAATCACCAAAGAGTAAGAAACAGTACTAATGCATTCAAAAATCAACTCACACCATTTTTTATCAAAACCCATTTTAATTAAAACATCATAGAGGAACTTACACTCAACTCTGTCATAAGCCCTATTTATATCAATTTTCATGGCCACAACTCCTTTTTTCCCTTTCTTCTTTAATCTGATATGATGAAAAGCCTCTTGAGCAATGAGAACATTATCAAATATTTGCCTCCCCGCAATAAATGCACTCTGATTTTCAGAGATAATTTTGTCCATACGCTCTTTCAACCTATTAACCAGCACTTTAGAAATGACCTTATAAGCTACGTTACATAGACTTATTGGTCTGAACTGGCCAATATCCTCAGCAACCTTTACCTTAGGGATCAGAACTACTTCAGTTTGATTAAGTTCTCTCAACATTCTGCCACTATGCATAAAACTCCTCACCATTTTAAACAAATCCCCCTTAACAATATCCCAGAATCTATGGTAGAATTGGCCATTAGAACCATCTGGGCCAGGGGATTTTAGGCTGCCAATTTGGAATACAACATCTTTAACTTCTGCCATAGTAACTTCTTTTAACAGATCCATATTCATCTCATCAGTTACTAATTTAGGAACACAGCTCAAATCCAAATCACCCATCCCCTGATATTCAGAAGTGAAAAGCCCCTCATAATGACTGCAAAACTTTTCTAAAATTACTTCCTCTTTATCAATCCAATCACCATTATCATCTTTGATTCTCAAGATTTTATTGTACTGTCTTCTTTGCAAAGTAGACTGATGAAAAAATTGTGTGTTCTTATCACCACAATTTAGCCAACTCACTCTTGCTCGTTGATGCCAATAGATTTCCTCCTCCCTCCATAAATGCTGTAACTGTTGCTGCATATCCTTAACACATTCTGCATCCTCAATACCTTCCCCATGATCCTGAACATCAGCAATGGCTTTCTTGAAATTATCTATCTTTTTTTTATTCTGAGCTTTATCTTTCTGCCATTTAATCAACAGATCCTTACAATGCTTCAGTTTTTTCACCACTTGAGAAGCATTAGAGCCCGAGATCTCACCATCCCAACCTTTCTCAATAATCTTCTTAACCTCAACATCCTCTAACCAAACAGCCTCAAATCTGAACTTCTTAACCCCTTTAAGATCCGATGCATCAGTATTGAAAATTAGAGGAGAATGGTCTGAACCAATAGCTGGCAAACTTAAAACAGTAGATTTTGGGAATTCAATCATCCACTCCAGATTAACCATGGCCCTATCCAATCTTTCCTTTACCAATACACCTTCTCGAATACCAGACCAAGTAAACCTCTGACCTTTTGTAGGAACCTCCATAGACTCACATTGCTCAAACATCTCTCTAAAACTCCTCATAGCCCATCTCTCCTTCCTCCTACCACCTTCTTTCTCACCTTCATCCAAGATATCATTCATGTCTCCCATGCAAAGCCAAGCATCAGTATGATGAATAGCTTTCATTTTTATTTTATCCCAAACACCCCTCCTTTCTTCCAAACTAGGAGCGCCATAAATCCAAGTAATTCTATAGTTGCCACTGCCATCACCTTTATCAACAAAGATATCAATGAAATTTTTATTCATCTCTACAATATTTACAACCAAATTCTCCTTCCACCATAGAACTAGACCACCACTCAAACCAATAGGATCTACAATAACCCCTTCTTTAAATCTCAGACTCTTCCCAACTTTATTCACAAACTCCTGACAATTCCTTGTCTCCATAAGGAAAACAAAATCTGGGCTATATTTTTTATTTAAATATTTAAGTGCTGATAATGTCAAGGCTGGCCCAAGACCTTGACAATTCCAAGAAAGGCCTATAATAATTCTTTGGTGGCTGTTTTAGGCCAGCCACCCTCTCCTTCAGCATAGTTCTCCTGCTCACAACCAGACTCACTACTCATAGCAGATATAACCACATTAGTTTCACTGACAGGTACCACATACAGACACATTTCTTCAATTTTTGTTCTACTCCATACAACAACCCCCCTTCTGCCTCTTCTACTCCCAGACTGCACCCTCCTACTCCCTTTTCGTTCCCCCTTTTGAGTGGCACCAGTCTTCTGGATCTCAACCTTAACAGTTGTTGTCTTATTTTCTTGCAAAGATTTATCAATTTTGACCCTTTTTAATTCAGGATCCGACTCCTTCCTCCATTCTAAACTATTCCCATCTCTTTTTAAATCCAACTTCCTCAAGCCAGCACTAAGGGAATTTTCAGCAATATATTTCTCCTTATCCATACTCTTCTTTAATCTGATCAGGGCATCCAGATTATCCTCAGCATTATTCTCCATATTAGGACTAACATTTTCCTTATCCCACCTAACTGGGATATAAGTATGCAGATTCTTATCATACATATAAAAAGTAGGGGAAGGAAGTGCATTAGAAACAACACCAGTAGAGTGATTGATAGGATCATTTTTCATGAGATTTGTATCAGGATTTTCAGTTTCACTCATGGAAACGATGTAAGGAAGACAAGAAAGGTTATTTGAAACAGTACCCGTGGGGTGACTGTTTGGAACAATAGCTTGGGACAAATTTTCAGAACTAGCAATAGGCTCATTATGTAAAGAAACAAAATGATCATGATTTATTAATGCCAAAGAATTATGATCTTTTGAACTAATAAGTGGAGAACTATTAGTAGGAGTGGTTGGATAAGGAAGTTCTTCATCACCTTCATCATCATCAAGCGGGGCACAAGGGGTTCCATCCAGAAACTCTTCTATTCCATTAATAACAGAATTGTGATAGTTCAAATTATGATTCTCATTTTCCTGTTGGGAAAGGTTATCAGGTGGAATTTGGGTAGAAACAACAATGGTCATGGTTTTATCATGAGATAGGTTGGGAATTTCTCCATGGAAAGATGACAAGGCTATATCTCCAGAACTACTATGACAACTTTCCCTTCTATTCTGGTCACTCCTTACTTCAGGCCTATCCATATTATGCATAAAAGTTCCTTTTGAGTTGTTGAAGCTCAAAAGCTCTTTTACATTATACTGCACTTTATGTCCTTCATATAAATTCTGATCATGGCCCCCAGAAGTCCTCCTTTCACTCACACTGACTGATTTGCTCAAATCCTCATACTGATTTTTCCTGCTGCCTTCAGTATTAACACCTGAAGCTTCTTTCCTCCCCCATTTCCTGTCTTTACTCCCAGTATTCCAAACAGCTCTTTTGATGGGAGCAGCCCGAAGATGAGGTCCCCAAATAGATTGACCATCAACTACAATTGGTTCCATGTGACACTGTTTTTCAACATGTCCTAACTTTCCACATGTAAAACAGAAATCAACCAACTTCTCATACCTCACCATGGCCCAAACTTTTTCCTTATTTCTCCGAGGAACCCAAAAACCTGGCACAAGAGGTTTACAAACCTCAATCCCAAGCCTAATTCTTAAAAAACTCCGTCCTAAACCTCCAGAAGAAATAGGCTCTTCAACCGCCTTTACAATCCCCAGATTCTTTCCAATCAGCTCTCCATTACTTCTAGTCAACATTTCAATGGGAAGATTATGGATTTGAACCCAATAATCTGCCACACAAAAGTCTAATTCCTCAATCATAACACCTTGATCCCAATTCCGAAACACCATACAAAAACCCATAATATTCCAGGGACCTTCTGCAAGAGCATTTTCTCTTAGCTTCTCAGATCTGAAAGAGATTCCAAACATATTAGCCCCAATTTCTTGAATACATGGAGCAACATCCTCCGCCCAAATACTATGCAAAATACTCACCACTCCCCACCGATTGAGTGTGCGATTAGCCAAGATCTTACCAGCTACCATGAATCTAGTCAAAGCTAGACTATGTTCATCTCCTTCTAAAACAATCTCCATAATACCTCCAATCCTCTCAGTTTTACAAAACAATTTTAAGGGAAGAAACACCAAAACAAAATTTAAAGAAAACACCAAAAACAATTTATTCCTGTTGCAAAATTTATTCTTTAGCAAAATGACAAAACCTAAATCAAATTCAGAGGCAACAAGAAACAATCCTAGGTTCACTAGAGTAATCCTAAGGGAAAAGCTCTAGATCTAGACCTAAGAAAGATCCAGCTCTAGAAGACACGAAGGAAAGGCACACAAGAGAAACAGTGAAAATCACAGATAATCACACAAAGAAACGAAACCAGAAGAAAACAAAGAAAACATACCAGAAAGACGGAATCCGATGAGGAAGCAAACGAAAACGAGATCGGGAAGGCGGAAACCGTCAAGAAACAAACAAGAAACACTGAGTAAACTCAGAGAGACTCGCGCACGAGAAAAAAACTACCTAGAGAGGGAAACTCTCACGTGAGGAGAAAGACTTTTTCTGGATCGAAATTAATTATCTATTTAAGGTATATATGTGTTAAGATAGACAATTATCGATTTCCTTTTCTCCTCAGTTTCCATAATCTTTTGATTATAGTAACTATATTATTATTATAGCAATAATAATAACAAAATTAATCAAGGAGAAACTTTCTTAAATAAAAATTTGATTTGATTTGAATATTTTCAAATCAATATCAATTAGCGTTAATGATATTCTCTCATTAATTTCCTTTATACGGTTATACCTATATATTACATTAACGTAAATTACTCTCAATTAAAGTTAATTTTGAATTTTAAATACTCAATTTTATCAATATAAATAGTCTTACGTTGAGATTGATTGGGTTTTAAAGGTTTGTTTCATTTCTCTGTTTTGCTCTGACTCCTTTTATTTTTAGTTTTGATTTTGATAAATTTTATATCACTTTTATGTTTTAATCTTTTGCTTTATTTTAGTTTTGATTATCAATTTTATGTTTTAATCTTTTGTTGATTTTCTTTTTTAGTCTTGATAATTGAAAAATATGAAGCTTGGATCTAGAATGAAGCTATGGTACAATTATGGACGATACTTTCTGACTATGTTCAATAACATTTGGGGTGGAAATCATCACCGGTTTTCAACCATCTCAATTTTTTATATTCATATATATATATAGATATATATATATATAAACTCTCCTCATTTTTTTTAGTTTTTTTTCATTAAATGTCATTGTTTTTGGATGATGGTGTCGGAATTCAAGCCTAACCTCCCTCTCTCAAAGCTATGATTACAATCATAATCGGCTTAGTATATTGTTTAACAAACTTTTTATTGGTTTAGTCCTCTTCTTCTTCTATATACCTCATTGTTCATGGAAAATAATTATGTAATAGTCATATCTTTTTGTTGATGTTAATTTCTTATATGTTTAGGATTCATCTCTATGTATATATCAAGAAATCAGTTTTTGTTGTATATTTTTTACTATAAAAGGGGTGATTAGATAATTTTCTTTAATGGGAATGGGTACTATAGAATTGAAAGTAAGCTCTTTTAAAAAACAATTGTATCCGTTTTAAAGAATGATTTTTTTTTGGCCATAAAAAAGAACTAATTGTATTAAGAAAACGAAATCAGTACAAAGAAAAGAACAAGGAACAGAGGAAAGAACAGAAATGAACTAACACCTTGGCACCTTAAAGAGAATCGTGTAAAAGCATAATTCTCAAAGATGCTGAGGTGGTTACACACCAGGAGAAGAAAAAGTAAAAAGGGGGATTCAGCCTCAAGGACCAGAAACCCAATCATAACCCAAGGAAATTCCAAAAGGTGCATGGAAGCCATCCAGCTTGAAGGAAATGGGGGATGAAAATCCCAACCCGAAGGGCACATATCCTTTTTGACATGGGAAGCAACCCAGTCTAACGCTATAATAGCTACTCTTCGAACCTGTTGAAACTTCATATAACTAAAAACAGCACTCAAAAATCTAAGAACCATCGGAAATTTCAAGATCACCACTATAATATGTCTCATTGAGATAGCTGCATTTGCATCATCCTTATCAGAGACACTGCCTGAATTCAATTTAACCCATCTTATAGTTGGGGATGCCCATTTCTGCGAAACATCAGTAGTCTTGAAGAGGACTTTCAACATATTCTTCTCATCATAAAGCCTGTATTCATCATTCATAACAGCTAGGAATCTCAAAGTTTGAAAGACAACAATACTGGTATCTATGAAATTATCCAAATCCCAAACTTCCAAATAAAGAGAAATACACCACCACAAAGCCAGATCACAACTTAAGCCATAAACCACTCGACTACTAACAATAGCTACTATTTCTAATTTAAATTTTATTATTCTAAAGTTTTAAAGAATGATTTGAAAAGATCATTGGATGACCAAAATAACCATTGTAGCTTTGTGAATTATAATAGAGGAGAAATCTGTGAAACGGAAATTGCTTATATACTGGCTTTTAAGATGTAGTGTTATATATCTCTCCCTTAATGAGGCCAAGCCATTGCAACTGAATGCCTATGTAATTTGGTTTAAAATATTTTGCAAGAGAAGGATTGCAATTGATCACCCCATATTCTATATAACCTTTACTTATGCCGTATGGGAATTTAGTTTAAGGTCAAATTTGAGTTTTTAGAAAAAAACTTTACAATCATATTCTTTTTAGTTCAAGGTCAAATACATTTTGATTACTTTAGATATCCATAAGGATAGTCTCAATTCCTCTTTCTGGCTTCCAAATTTCAATTCCATATATGTATATCCTACATTAATATTTATTTTTCAAATATTGTTTAAAAGTATATAACAAATAAAGTAACAATCGAGTTTTTTTTTTGTTAACCATTGAGTTTTATTACTATAGTTTTAACTTTTTATTTAAAGATACTAATATAAATTTATAAATTCAAAAGGGAAACGTTATCATGATGAAATATTAGCCCACAAAAAAAAATTCCAACAAATGATATTTTACGACATGGCCTAAGTTTGAACACACATTTTACAAAAACAAGCTTTAATAGAGTGTAGGAAATGAATTTTGATCAAACATTGACTAGCTATGGGTTAGAAAATTCTTCATGAAATAATTTGAATATGAGACATTTCTTATCAATTCAATTTGAATTATTTAAATTTGAATTATAATTGGCCGAATTTGTTTTTCTTTTAAGAAAACAAAAAAATGGATTTATTTTTGAATTATAGAGACATTACTCACATTATTATTATATTATTAATAATAATCAAATTTGGTCAAGCATGATTTACAAATAATTTATTTATTTAGATTGAAACCATAATTTTTTTATTTATTTCAGTCCTCTTGGAATAGTTTTGAATATTCAAGTTTGTTGTATAAGGTTGAGTTACAAAGTAACAAGTATATTCTTTGAATATTACAACAATTAAATTAGCAAAAGAACTAAATGACCAATTAATAAGGTAATTACCGAATGCTTAATAAGCTTACTAAAGAACTAAATATGGTCACTTATGAAAATATACTTTTCCAGAGTTAATTCATTTTCTTCTCTTACGATATTTCGTCATCATCGATGCATGAATCCGATAAAATACCTATTCGAGAAGCTGATCTGGTAGTCATTTGCAGAGGTAGAAAACCGATTTAATATTTAATGTGATATCTTAAGATTTTATAAGGTTAATGAAAGTACAGTCCTAAAAAATTTTGGTAACATGTACTCAGGGGTGGATCCTCTTTATGGTTTAGGGGGGCCTTGGCCCCCCCAAAATTGGTAAATTTGCTTTATGATCCCCATACATTTGTATACGAATTGGCCCCCCTAAAATAATTTTATTTGAATTGGCCCCCCCAATACCACTTGTCAAGATCCGCCCCTGCATGTACTTTTTCAAAATTTTTGTTAAATCTATTATATATGAAAAATTATACAATTCACTGTTAGTAGAGTTTAGCAGACTGCACATGCAGGGTTAAAGAGTTAACATGTTTCCCCTTAGGGAATAGTTTTGAATCTTCGGTTTTATGGTATATGATTGAGCTAAAAAGTAACATGTATATTGTTTGAACATCACCACAATTAAATTAGCAAAAGACCTAAATATTAAATCAATCCGTAAATTCATAAAGATTGAAGTTAATGGCTTAATGCTACTTTCCCCATCAAATTATCCAACTTGAGGTAGCAACTTATGATCACTAATACATGTATTAGTACAACAAGTATCCTTAATTTTAATTACCACAATTAATATCCTTAATTTTTATACTTACTACTATGTAAAGTTTATTTTCATGAAATTAATGTCTATACTATACCATCATATCAGTGGGGTTTTATTATAAGGAAATAGCTAACGGGTGCCCGTGGGCACCCGTTTAGCACATTCAATGGGTAATTATTTTCCTTGGAAAATGAAATAGTGGGTAAAGAAAATGTCACGCCCCGACCCGGAAGTCGAGCACGGACAACCGTCATGTCACCTCGAAACACGTGCCGGCCGGTCACGCACTCCGAAACAACACGAAGCGTCAATATCAGAGTAAAAACAATAAAAGCGAGAACATAGAATAAATTTGAAATACCCGAGTTTATAAATCAGAGTAAAAACAGAATCATAAAAAACCGAGATAATAAAAGTATTTTAAATCGAAAACCAAATCAAATCCAAATAGTGAGTTAGTAAATAAGAAACATGATACGAGGAATGACAATAAACAGAGACAATGCCAGTGGGACTCGTCATGTAGTGAGAAGTACCTCTAAGAGCAGTGAATACATCCTATGCCACCGACTCGACCGCCAGAGGGAACGCAGAGTCCTAACTACCCTGAAAACGCAACAGGAATTTGAAGTGGTGAGTACACAAATGTACCCACTGAGTGAGCCACCCTCAAAAGAGGATCAGAAGAGGGTGGGTGCACTCACAACCAAAACAGCTCATAAAAGCAGTTTATAACAAAACCAATCAGTAATAACAAATCCAAGTATATAAATCCATTTACTGCTTTCAAAACCATGGGCTGCCATCAAAACATATCCGAAGTGACCCTGGCCCGAGTCAACCTCCGGAACCGTCAGGGGCATTTTCGTCATATCATATCATAATATCAATAAAAATACCACTTTTCATATTCTTCTTCCAACAACAAGCCCCTTCCCCTGACGTTGGCCTGGGTCCGGCACTGCGTGGTGGCCGCAGCACACCCAGTTTAGCTCCCCCATGCACACGCTGAACCGGTATATAAATAATGGCGTGTCGGGCCTGAAGCGACGAACCATGTGGATCCAAACTCATCTCATAGTTCGCCAACGTATCCAAGTACTAGCTAGTAAACCACCAAATCAGCCACACGTACTCCCTGGACTGCGTCCAGTCCACGAGTCCTCGTGTGCTTACCGACAGTTCAAAACCATTTTCAACGATCGCTCATGCACCCAAAACAATTTATTTAAAACCATTTATAAAACAATTTAATAAAACAGTAATAAAATAGTTCCTCAACGGGTTCTCCGTTGAGGACAGCCCACTCACAGTTCAGGGGACTCGTACACCCCCATGCAAAATCCACAAAATTCATAATTTCCCAATTTCTTAGTAAATGATGATCTTAGTCTAGTGAACTTAATAACTAGGGACGTGTATCACAGCTCTACCCCCCTTAAAATAAATTTTGTCCTCAAAATTTTGCTCACTAACAATAAAAAATAATTTCGAATAAAATTTCTTCGTTATAGACTTGAACTCCCAAGTCACTGCGTCCACATTGTCATTCCCTAAAACCTCTTGGCCATCAGAACTCGTTTACTTCCTACAACCCCTTCCTTAATCGTCCAAAATTTGTACCATTTGAGTTTCATATCTCAAATCTTTCTCTAACTCTATTTAAAGAGCTTCCAACAAAATTCAACCACACAAAATTCAAACATATTTCTCAATGCTTAAATTCTTGAGCTCAAACATAATCTCCAATTTTACATTATAACTTGCATCAGTATAAATATAATCTATATTTCTTTAATAATCTCAAGCAACATAACCATCATAATGAGCTTTCCACTATAACATACTATCACCTTACTTCTCTTGCTGAACTTAACCATCCACTTAATAGGAATTTATTTCCTCTCAACGATCCAAATGTCCTACGACTTTTGGATTACCTATGTCATCTTACTTCTGAATCAAATCTGTATCCTCATTATATATATACCAAAACAATCTCAACAATATCATCAACATGTTAATCTCTATATCACATATATCCAAGCATACATATCAATTTTCCTTTAAAGAAAAGTAATCGACTTTCATTACATCCTTCAAATTCGTAATCATACTTGAAGTTCCCGAACTTCTCAAAATCTTCATGAATCATCAAATCTTTTTCCCGTGAGGAACAACCCATACCCTTAAAGTTTTACTTGTTTATTCTTTATCAAAATTCCTTAGCAGTACCAATGACTTTTCAAAGACAATCTCTTGAGTAACACTATTCCATTATTCCTCTACATCCAACTATACTAATTAATAATTGTTCATCATCTTTAAACCACGCTATCAATCTGCATTGCACACTTCACTTGTAATCCAAACTCCAAAATTTTAGCTTGCATTTCAATTTATACAAGTCATCATACACATCAAAAAAAAATTCCTTGTTTCTTATAACATTATACTCATTGATCGAATCCTTAATAACAAAAACTGATTCTTTAGTTCAATAAACATCACTTTTATATTCCACCCCAATAAGAGATACTCCTTAAAATTGTCCATAATAGCTCCTTATTGAACTCCAATAACCCAAAATCACAATACTAACCCTTTTTCCATTTCAATTACAATCATAAAAAGCCTAATAAGCACTTTCTCCTTATCTCACAATAACTCATTCAAAGACAATATATATATATATATATATATATATTTAAACTTCTCACTTAAAATCAGATGAAATTTCGAAATTCACTTAACTCGATTTCTGCAAACTTTACCAAAGCATCATATTATCTATTATATCGAATCAAACACCAATCCCAAATTTATTCATGCAACTTAGTTTATCCTTAAGGCACTCATATATCTTATATTTCACTTATAAAAAAAATGAATACTAATTATAAGATCAATCACATTATCCTACCACCAAACATTACACAACAACGTCTTTATTC